GATTTTGTAAAGCAGTTAAAGAATTCAAGAGGCCATGGTAACTTCGTCCGCCGCTTATCGCTGCTGAAATTGCATCAAAAAGACCCCTGAGATCACTTTTTACGTGTAAGTATTCTCGCTTCGTTCGCTGACGATCGCCTGTTTTTCGCGTATGCTGTTAAATTCGAAACAATATGCAAGGTGCACATGTGTGCATTACATGCGTACACCTGCATGGGAGGTAATTTTGAACTTTAAATGCTCACTAACACGACGTTGTCCGTGAGTTTTAAGTTTATGGACAAAGCACAAAGCAAGCCACTTACTCCTGAAGTACTCGCGGTCTATGGTTGCACGTATCTAACACTGGAACGAATAGAACGTCTCAATGCGCTTTTAATTTCAAGTTTTCTGGTGTTGTCTTACAAGAGAAGACTGACAGCGTGCATGCATCATTTTTTCGGCGAATAAATATTGAATTTGGTGTTTGTTTATCGAGGAATTCACAAATGTAGATAATACTTCATGCCGTGATTATCCGTGTTACAGGTTTACGAAAGACAGTGCGCTGCTTTCTGCCTGGGAGCGTGCTGTTCGAAGAAAGAGATGGACCGCTAAGGACGGTGACGACTTCTGTTTTATTCAGTTCGAAGAATGCTGCTTCGAAAGAACGGGGCAGACAGCCGGATCGCGGCCTGGCAGTGTACCTTCGATTTTTCCTGCTTTCCCAGCACATCTGCAAGAACTTGTTAGTTTCTGCCTCCTTGACGTAGCTTCAATAGAATGTATCCACGAAAATAAGCAATTGCGTCAAGAACAAGAGACACCTTTGAAATCTGTTCTATTTTGCCGATTAAACCGAAATCAATACGCCGGTAGACGAGGTTGCCAGAATTAGTGAGTTGCGTAATATCAAACATCGAGCTACCTCGTTTCTAGGTTCTGAAGAATGCGCTTGCCATGACAACACATGTCGCCAACGGAAGATGATAAATATACTGCAAAACTAACGCCACTGCAATCGTTCTTATAAACGTTTCATTTTTTGGGGGTACGTGTCCTGGAGTTTGCCGGTTGCACGCGACATCGGAGCTTCGGTTTTGGTTCCGCGTGTAAATTGGTTAGAGTTCAATAGCTCCGGGAAACTTACTGGTGCCTCCCAGTTTACCTAATACCTCCCTTCTCTTACTGTATCATTAACTATTTGAACTTTCTTATATATTCTCTGGTTATCTCCCGACACACACACACACACACACACACACACACAGAGAGAGAGAGAGAGAAAAAAAAAGGGACTCGAATTTTTCTAAGCCACCTTCTCCACGGTCATCTCGCAGCTGCTTAGCAGAGCAACCAAGAAAGGAAGCGCCCAATATTAACCTGAATTGCAAGCCTTTGCTTTGACTTTGCATTTTTATTCATCAGCTGCGTACGAGTATGTGCGTGCCAAGTTCAATAATGCATTGACATCACCATGCACCCTGTGAGAGTGGTACAAGGCTGTTAATGGGGAACCAGGCTTCACAACGGAGTCGTTCAATTTTTTCAAAAATGTGGCGCAGAACAAGGAAGAACGACCATAGTAGCGGCACTGATAGTAGACAAAATGTCCACAAGAGTACACATTCAACTGGTTGGAAACAAAGCTGTTGGATATGTTGGCTTAGGCACAGAAATAACGGAAGACAGCTTGCCAGAAGCAACTAACGCATGTGTGTTAATGCTTGTAGCACTGAACATGAGGCCTAATTTACCCCTTAGTTACTTTTCCGTGGATCCTTTATTGGGCTCCGAAAGAGCTAACTTAACCAGAATCCATTGCAAGGGTAACATCAGTAGGTGAGGACGTTGTCTCGCTGATGTTTCACGGTGCTCCTTCCACTGTTAACATTGTCCACTGTCTTAATGCTGATCTCTGCTACCAGTCACCCAATTTCGTGACGAGTTTTGACTGCGCTGCGGATTCGTCGAAGAAGTTCTCGATCATTCTAGACCTTGTCACATGCTCAAGTTAGTTTGTAACTGCCTCAGATAAGTTGAATACTTTGTTGATGATCAAGGCTCGCACACCAAGTAGCCAATCATCGAAGCACTAGATATCATGCAGCGAAAAGAATGCATGCACTTTGGAACTCACAAAAGTCCATGTCGAATGGGAAAAACAAAAAAAAAATGAAAGTGAGGCTTGCTGTGCAAACGCTCAGTTCCTCAGTGGCAGATGCTGTCGGCTTCTGTGGACTTACTTTGAGATTAGCATGGTTGCAAAATGCACATGCCACATCAAGATTTCTACGAGTTTTCGACAGGCTGTTTGACTTGCTTAATTCAAGAAATTCTGTTGCCAAGTATTTTAAGATTGCACTATGCAATGAGAATGCTGCCTCATGGAAGGCTTTTCTGCAGGAAGCATAAGATTATATTACTAAGCTAACTTGCGCAAATCGGCGCCCTGTCATTGAGAGCGTGAAGAAACCGGATTTGTCGATCTGCTTATTTGCATTCGCAGCGCTGCGGATCTCTTTGACCATGTTGTAGCTGCACGGAAGACGAGTACTTGTTAACACACAAGGTGTTGCAGGACCACATGAAAATTTCCTTTTTTTGCATCAGAGGTAAAGGGGGTTTCCACAACAATCAAACTGCCTATCAGTTTATAGCAGCGTGCAAGCGTCTACTCATACCGACAGAGGTCAAGTCGTCTGACTCTGGCAACTGCGCTGCGGATGTTGTAACAGTGCTGGCTGTGTCAGGTGCCGTCAGTGAAGTTGAATCAACTGCAGTCACCCACCAGAAAAAAAAATGTTCATTCTTTGAGCCTCTTGCTGATGACCACTGATACACCTATCGCATAGACCTGCCTATCACGTAGACCTGCCTATCACGTACACCTTTAGCGTAGACCTGCCTCACCAGTTGTTTAAGCTGTTGTGCCATATGTTGCAGGATTTGCGGCACGCAAAGTTGCAGACTGCGCGTATTGTGAAGAGTGCGTGGCCTGGTGGCACCATTTAAGTACGTGCTGTACATTTTCGAAGCTGCAGAGAAAGGTATCCGAGTACTTTGATGTAAGGGCAGAACACTTTGATGTAAGGGCATGGCACGAAAGGTGTACACCACTAATCTTGGAAATTCTAACTATGGCTCTCGAGAGGTCGTGGTTTGCAGAGCTTCAGCATCACCTGCTTGACTGTGATCCTCTAGATAACCACATATACAAGCTCTCAAAGAGGATTGCCCAATGACTACATCAAAATTCAAACACATCACATCACCAAAGAAACTAATAGGGCAAATTTCAACTAGAGAGCTGGAACACTACTTTCAAGGATTATATTATTCAGCAATAAGTGAACAATCGATGTGTTATTACAGTACTGCAACTAGAGGTGTCGTATTGCAGTTTTGCAACGCTTTTTCGCAGTTTCACATTGGTACACATTGCATCGCAATGCCTGACATATGTAACATTTTTGTTTTTCTGTTCATGCGAAGCCATGCACACGCAGTATGAGTAAAAAATGCTCGATGAATGTCTTCCGCAGCAACAATCTGTAGCGCACTACCTTAACAAAACTTTGTTGTTTATATCAGGCTATCTTCCGGCTTTGTCAAAAACAGCCGATCACGATGCTGTATGCATAACTTTTGCATTGTCTCTCACGTGTAAATGACTTCACAATAGTTTCAGTGCTTCAAATAAAGCTATCAAACAGTGCACGAAGAAATGAACACACACACACACACACACACACACACACACACACACACACACACACACACACACGCGCGCGCGCGCGCGCGCGTTTTTTGTTACTTAATACATACGCGTACAAGTGAACATTTATTGAAGGGAGGTAGGCTTGGCTGGACCTCCCAACCCTGTCAGCAATATGCGCGGCGCTATAGTGTAATGTTACTTTGTCTCGCACCTCGCGCGGTTTAGCAAGAAAAAAAACAGAGAGAGTGTAATGTTTGTCTCGCACCTCGCGCGTTTTAGCAAGAAAAAAAACAGAGGGAGAAAACACAATATGAGCGCTGTCTAGCATTTTCCTCTTCGTTTTCTCCTTAAAAAGGCCGCGCTGTGCTTGACAGAAATGACAACTAGCCAAAACATGCATTCTGCTGCTGATCAAAATTCGGCGTGATGGATGTGTGCTCAATAAAGTGAATAAGTGCTTTTCACATAAGCTTCTGGTTCCTCTTTGAACTTTGTAACTATTAGATTGCGCAAAACCTTGTTCTCAGTAACACATACGTAAATATATACAGTGCGCCAGCAAGCTTGATATGCGAAGCATTTCTGGCCAACAGGTTATTCTGAAAGCGTGCAGCATACAATGGGTGCATGAAATAATTTGTTTATTAAATGAGAAGAGGCATTTCTTCGTTGGTGTAACCTAAAAATGGTTTCCATCTCATTTTTGGTCGTGGAACTACAAACCTACGCGCGCGACGCGCGTATTCCATTGCCGTCTATGACGATTCCGCCCCGTTTTTCTTCTAGCACTATGGCCGCCGGCGGCTTCACTTGCTCCCGTTGGCGGCGGCCGGAACTGTTAGAGCAGAGGTTCTATAGAACCTCCTTGATGAGAGCAGAACTCATGTAGTACGCCTGGCAGAAGACTCGCCTTTCCACATTTCTAGCGAACTACGCCGACGTTTTTTTTTTTCATTCCTTCTTTGCTGACACCTCTGAAATGTTGAATAGTTTACCTGACGGGTTTGTAAGCAATCATTGAGCTGTAGAGAAGTGCGTGAGGTATGTACTTTTGTAGTTGTGTGTAATAAACTTGCTACCAGCATGTAAATGTTGACTTTAGATGCATAATGAGTTATCGTAGTTCAATAGTTCTTGTAGTTGAATAGCTAGCTATCAGTAGTGTGTGGATATTTTTCTTACTGTAATGTGGTTCTTTCGTCTTAATATCAGCACACTACACTCCTCGTAATGATGCCCTGATCAGTGGGGTTAGCATTGCGATATGGACGAATAAAAAATAAAAGCCTGAAGGACTCACATGTGTGGCGTTGTAGCGGTTCACAAGCTGGCTGAAAGACTCCAAGCCGCGCATGAGACCCCACACAGAGAGGGATGACAGCACCGACGGGCGTGAGCGTGATAGGATCAGATGATCTGCAGATTGTATACATAATGGCCCATGTTAGCTTGCAATGCTGTATGACTTTAAGGTTGTAACGCTGTGGTGTAGTGGCATTTACTTTTAAAAAATCCCCAATAAAATAAACCAAAACTCGGCTAAATTTCAAGTGAGCGTAAAGGACGCCTAAGTGCCCCGATAGTGACGAGGACAGATAAAGTGGCTTCTTTCACAAATGAGCCAACAGACGAGTGGCGAAAAGAAGAATTTGTTGCAGCATCATCTATGCGTATGAACAAGAATTAGTCAATGTCCGCCATTGTGCATGAGCAGTTTCGTGCATAGAGGAAGGAAAAACTGAGGAGAGGCCATGACGTCACAATTTGTGAAGCCGGAAGTAGGGGAGAGTAGGAGTCTCCTCCTCGCACTTGTGGGCATGCTCATCTGGTTGCTAGGAGACAATATCGCGTCGCGCTGGCCAGAGCGCAGGGTCATCGTAAGCTGACCGAGCCGGAAAGCTATACATCTGATTGCATTGGCTAAGAAGCTGCGTTGCCCTCGATAAAACGGGAACCAGACGTCAGCTTCATCAGGTGAGTGTATTGAGTTTTCTTTATGTTCGACGTACGGTACGATCGAGAGTATCCTTGTAGAATATAATGCACGATACTGCATGCGTCAGCGTAGTGTTCTTAGGGTTTATTCGCGGCTCTTGGTGACAGTTCTATAATGCAATAAAATGCAGCGCAATAATTCACGACGCTGACGACACGGCGCAGCTAGCGCCGGAGTTTCTTATTTCGTCCTCTTCGTCCGCGTCGTGGAATCACTGTGTTTCGATTTATTCATGATTATTTGTCCATGTGTCAATAAAGTTAGCGATTTCGCGTTATAATTGCTTTCGTGCAGGTTCCCCAATGATGCCCGTCAAAGGAGGCTATGAATCGAGCCCATTAGACCCAGCCAACGCGACTGGGAAGCAACGAAATGGTCTTATGTGTGCTCAAACCCTTCCCATCTGAGCACTTCAATCGGGTGGCACCAGCGGCAGTTCGCCTTCGCGAGGATGCCGTTCTATACTGCCGTGAGAGACCGCAACGACGCGCGCGCTGCAGATTTAAATGCCCAACCTTTATTGGAGAGACATGAAAATTGACTGAATGCTTAAACGCCGGTATATTTTCCAGGCGAGTGTACAGGAAATGGAACAAAGCTTTATTTAGTGCAAGCATTGCTATTGATATTTTCAAATAAACTTACAGTTACGTGCTTCACGCCTATTGAGCTGAATGCAAGAAAGAAACTGTGCAACTCGGCCAGGTAATCGCCGTGGGCTTTTTTTTTTTTTCAGGTGAACCGGTCAGTTAGGGGTACGCGACATAATTTAACAGTGCCATCTACATTGGCCTTCCTCCACAGAAGCATGTTGCAGCTCAGATTATCCCTTGATTGTGTGCGTCATAACAGTCGCACCATAGGGTTTCATACAATCGCACCAACATATAGTGGGGCGGGGCGGTCGTTCGGGTACGACCACTTCGAAAAGAACTTTGGCCCATATAAAACTACTTCGCGCAAAACGAAATGGAATCTGAACACTTCGAGCAGCTTCATAAATCGCCTTTTTGTGTGAAACACAATTGAGTTAGGCACGTCTTTTCTATTCTTGACGATGCAGCCTTCAGTGAGTGCACCGGGCTAATGCTTTCCAATCGTCACTGTCGCGCCGGAAACGGGTCACCACTGTCTCCAACATTAAGAGCCACCAGAGGTGTTGTTCTGTTATTGGAAATGTATCCTTTCATGACGGAGGAGTGCAACAGCACGGTGTCGAAGGCAAACAGCGAAGTTGCGGCAAGAAGCCTTCTCGGAGAAGCTGTCGCGGGCTTCGAAAACACCTTGCGATGGCACGCTGAATGCTGCGCACGCAACCGTGACGACATAAACTCACTGTAGGATGAATCTCTGGAACCCTACGTCATATGCGAACCCTACGTCATCCGGAAACCCTACGTCATCCCTGCTTCATCCGGAAGGCTGACGAAGAAGAAGCCGAAGCGTGCGAACGCTTCCACTACGGCTCCTGCTTTATTCAGCGTTTCCGCAACACCACTTTGCGATTTCATTGTTATATTAGTGAAACGACTTCCAGAAGACACAAAGACTCTGCCGACACGGTTTGGGCGCAAAGAGCGCTTGCTTCTTGCATTTTATTTCGCCTGCGCCATCGTCGCTCGCCCGCCGACAGCTAGTCCTGACGAGTGTCTTCTTCGCTCTAACGTGGCGCGTGCTCGCTCGCGCGCGCCCCGTAGCTGCACTGTTTTGCTGAGTGAGGGAGCATCAAGTGACAGGGGAAGGCATCGACCCGAAGGAAATCACGCCAGACCAAGGCTGGCAGACCGCCTCGTGTCACCGAGCCCAAAATGAAGGCTCCAAACGTGTGCCGTCATATAGCGCTTCGAAACGCAACGAGCACAAGCCCCGCAACAGAGAAAATTTGAAAAACAGAATTATTCGAGCAAGCCGAATGCCTCAACTACCAAAGAACGACATCCGTATTATCATTAGGCCCAGAGGGAGTCTTTACATCGCTAGGGTCGGCCCAAAGACAATCGCTGAAGCCATTTAGACTTCGGCAGGTATCAAACCATTGGAACAGCAAGCAGACGCGCTCTGCCCCAACATTAAACAGAATATCTAAGTAGCAAGCACGCCGAAGAGAGAAAATGCTAATCGCTACTTGCGCGTTAAAGAAATCCGCATCGCTGACAAGACCTATGAAGTTAATGCCTACAAAGCGGCACCACATTCTACATGCAAAGGCGTCATTCGAGGGATTCCTTTGCAAGACGGTTCGGCGGACATTGATGCGAAGATTGTCAACGACCGCAATCCACTAGCTTTGGCTGCCAAGCGCATCGGAAGTACCACCGCAGTGATCGTGGCCTTCGATGGACATCGCGTGCCCATTTTGTGCGATACGGATCGGTGCTATTTCAATGAACAATATACCGTAGACAGATACTTGCTACGCCTGTGGTCGGCTTGGCCATCGATCAGACGTGTGCCCGAACCCTGGGGACGTTATCAGCAGAGGCTGCAGCGTGCCGAACCCCGAAAAGAACACCACTGCACACCAACATACAAGCTTTGTGGAGGAGCCCACCTCACTGCCGACAAGGAATGTAAAGAACGCTACAACATTCCATACGTGGTGCGCCGACGAAGATGGGAGTGAGCACACTCGACGCGAAACAACAGTCACGAAGCAATGAATGAGTTCAACGCAATCGCTGACGACGACAAAGCCACGAAGCTTTCTACAGACGGTTGATCCGATGGCAGCCAGTCCTGATCCCGGAGTCGTCCTAGGAACCGCACCATGCATGTATCGAGGTCCCGGAGCAACCCTCGGACCCATTCCTGCAGCGCGCGAAGTGGGACCACAACCAGATCTACATCGCGAGGCTACTCCAGGTCCCGTTCCGGTTCACGTCACGGTTCCCGTTCAGGTTCCCGGCCCAGGTCACCCTCCGGGTCACGCTCCAGCTCCCACTCTGGTTACGGGCCTCACGCCGGTTCCAGGCCTCACCCCAGTCTCACCGGAGTCTCGCGTCAACGATCGCCGAGCCCATCGGCACCACCATCGCCAGGCAACGCCAACAAGAATAAGTGGGGAACTCTCACTTGGGCGGACGCCGTACGGGGAAAAGGAAACACCACATCACAGGTAGGGTCCGGTTCACTCCCAGAGCATGATACACACACCACATCTGAGATAGCAACCTTAAAGCGCAAAAATGCGATGATAAAATAAACAATACGCAAACTCACAGTTGCGATTGCCGAACTAAAAACTGACAGTTTTGAAAACTGAAAACTGACAGGTGAACGAACTGAAAACTGACAGGTGAAGCGCTACGCCCACAACCGACAACGACAACAATGCAGTCACGGCGTTGCAGCCGCAACCCGTAGGCGCCGGTAATGACGATGGCGAGAGCGCACCCAAGAAACGCGTTGTCGCCCACGACCAGCCAGCTTTAAAGGCAGAGTTAGACCATATTAAGAGCACGCTATCTGCGATTAAGCAGATAGCGCGCTCTTAGCAGATAGTGTGCTAAAGCCTTCGATTTCTTGGCGAAAGCATGGCTCTCGTGCAGTCTACCCTCGCGGCACACGGTAATCGGTTGGGCCAAGTGGGTCGATCACGTTGTCGCCCCTGCCGTTGCCGCGGGTAAGCCGTTGTTTCCACGTACAGCCGTGCCCAGTCCACCACTTCACGCGGCCCTTATGCCCCCGCCGGGTACTCAGGCCGACTCCTACATGCTTCAAGATGGCCAGACCAATTGACGAGTTGCGAATCTGGCAATGGAACTGCAGGAGCTTCGCCCACAAGAAAGCTTTCCTGCAGCAATACCTCCGTAGCCACGAAGCCAAACCTGACATCATGCTACTACAAGAGATGGTAGTACCAACCGCCACGTTTTCCGGATACCAGTGGTCGCCCGGCCCCTGGGGAGGACGCGGTACCGCCACCCTGATCGCTAACAAGATTACCTGCACAGCACACAGCCTTAATGTGCCCGAAATTGAACATGTTACGGTCGAAATTCTCCCTCGAAATGTATCACAACAAAGCGTGTACATGCTCAGTGTATACAGTAGTCCCAGCCACCATAGACAAAGATTCACACGCTTGTTCCAGAAAGCTGTCCGTCTCGCGGGGCCTAACCCGCTAGTGATTGCGGGCGATTTTCACGCCGCGCATAGCGCCTTGGGTACACATACGACACACCCAAAGGTAACGAGCTTTGGAGAAATGCGAATGACATGGGCCTTATTCTCATTACGGACAAGGCATTGCCCACTCGCACCGGTACATCCGCGCAAATAGACACTACACCGGATCTCTGCTTCGTGAAGAATATCGCCGATGCCCGCTGGTCCAACCTCGCGGTAGATCTCGGTAGCGACCACTTCATATTGGCCGTACACGTCCCCACAATAAGCAAGAAGACCAAGTCGTACAGGTGAGTCGACTGGGACCTCCTTCGTAAGATCCGCGCAGAACGACCTCCGCTCGATACCCCACCTAGCCTCAAGACGTGGACGGCCCAGCCCAAAGCTGATGTAAACAAGGCAACCAAAACTATCAGTACAGACCTTCCAACCGAAAAGATGGACAGTCGTGTCGCCCACCTACTTGAGGCCCAACAGTCTTTGTTGGCCCGGTGAAAGGGCCAGTGCCTTAATTGGAGGTTACGCATACGCATATCTCAGCTGAACAAAACCATAATGGATCACTGCCGCATTCTTTCAAAACAGCAGTGGGATGAAATTCGCAACTTCATTGATGGTCAGGTTCATAATGGCAAAACGTGGAACTTACTCAAACACCTCCTCAATGAAACCAACACCCGCACAAATCAGCGTCATTCGATCGTGAAGATACTTCATCAAGCTAAACACACAGTGTCACCGGAAGATGTTGT